CTTATATTTTTCCCGGCGAGGCTAATATTTTCCCTTGCCGGCTAATAATTTGCTGAGGGTAAAGGGTCCACTTAGAGCTGAGACGCTCCACGATGATCTCTAGCCCGCGGGCCATTCTCAAATGGTCGCCTTGTAAGGGATCACTTTAATCCCATCAATGACCATTTAAAGTTAAGGGTATCAGAGTTACGATTATATAAGTTAGACTGTGTTTGTACCGTCTGTTTTGTGGGAAGGTCAGAAGTTATCTTGATCATTTGCTTTTTCAACTCTCGAAGCAAGAAGTCGGCAGTTATAAGTTTGAAGTCTTCGTCTGTCAGTCTGTCTATATACTTGCCTGTGGCACCTAAATAGATGAGTGTGTTTTTTTTATTTGAAGGCTAATTGGGATGGTTCTTAGCCTTCTGGAGATAAGCATTTTCTCAGCTAGTGGAAGAAAACTAAGCCACGCAACGAACTAATGGACCTTATGAATTTTCCTCAAAAAATATTTGAATATCATTGTGGCCTCAAGATCCAAACATTCAATGAAACTTAATTACAGTTATTAAAGTGACATCTCTAGTCAGCGGCTGGTAGCTGTAAATGTACCTCGCTTCGTGAAGATTTCTCACAGATGGCGCTGGAAGAAGCACATGGAAAAATTCATGAGGTTCGTCGGTTCGTTCCGTGGCTTAGTTTTAGCATAGCGTGTTGGCAAGGTTTGCTAGGAGACGTAAGGTCGAAGTGGTTGGGCTTTGGTTAATGATTATGAGTTATTATTTTAATTTCACTAGTCTGATCAATTTGAAATTTGCATTACTTTAGAAATCCGATGTAATAATATGGTAACTTTGATCTGATGCCACAACCAGGAGAGTCTGTAAACTCAACCTTTCAACTACTTACCGAAGCACTAACGTGTTTGGTCTCATATTAGTCTGGACGTCTTGTTGGCTTGTACAGATAGTAACTTTATTGACTTTTTGGACTACGCCGTTTTGAATCGGGAGATTTTAAACTTTAATTCAAGTGTCATTGTACTTGATTTACAAGCGTCTATTAGTCTAGCTATGTTATATTTACAGCCCTATAAAAAAGCAGATTGTATTAATTTTCCTGTTAAAAAAATATGTAACTTATATAGATTTTAAGGCTTTCGTGGTTAATCTCTGAATGATTATCACTAATTTCAGGCTTCTTACCACGGTATGACTTCTTTTAGTGGTAAGAAATCTGAAATTAGTGATAATCAAATTGTAACTTATTTATAAAAAACCGAGCTCAAAATTTCCTGGAATTATATCCATTTACCAAGTTTTATTGATATCAGTTACCGGAAAGTGCGGATTCATCCTAGTTTGCCATCCATAGAGGTGGAATATTTTGTTCAAACTTGAATGGGACCAATACTGAGGTACCCTCTTTCCAACGAAATAGATTATCAAAAACATTTCACAAATTACAAAAACACAAATCACGAGTTATCGCGTAACACACATACCTACCAAAAAAATGACGAATAGTTCTCTATTCGACTGCATGCCGTCTTTTTTCAAGTCGGTAATAATAAAATGTAAAATAGCCGTTTTCAGTAGCAGTAGAAGTCTTTTTGAAAAAGTGTTTATGATGTCAAGTGACGGGACGAACAAGTCGCGCGCCTTTTGATAAGCTACGCGCCTGTCCATAACAGTTGCAGTGCCACCCTGAGCTTTAAATCACAAAGATCTGAGGGGCACTGCTACTGCGTCTGTCACCCTGAGACATAAGTTGACAAGTCCCATGTGCCTGTAATTTCACCAGCACCCTTACCCATCAAAACCAGAACACAGTAATACTGAGTAATGCGAACTCTTTCATGCATGGAACTTTTCAACTTATGTCCCAAGGTGTCTTTCGTAGTGGCAGTGCCTCTCAGATCTTCGAGATTTAAAGCTCTTCGTGTCACTGCAACTGTTATGTACAGGCGTGTAGCTTACCAGCAGGCGCACGATGTGTTCATAAAACAAAACTGTAGGGTGCCTGATTGAAAAAGTATTTATGGCTTTACTATTTA